CTGCAGCGCAATGTCTTTATTGACATTAATTAACAGAGGTGTATTTACTTTGCAGGAGGTGTTCACAATGGAGAGTATGTCCCCTGGCTGTACTGCTATGACCCTGTGATGGACGTCTGGGCCCGAAAACAGGACATGAACACAAAGCGAGCAATCCACACTTTGGCTGTAATGAATGATCGACTGTATGCAATTGGAGGAAACCATTTGAAAGGTCACGTTTTTAATAGCGAAAAAGCATTTCAGTGTCCCCTGTCTCCTGATAAAGAATATTTTTGTTAGACAGTCATTGTTAAATACATTAAAAACCAGGCAACACAATTTAACAGGACACTTGAGCCAGCAATTTTAAAAACGTTTTATGCAAATTATTTTAAAATTATAACAGTACATTAAATATATGAGTAATGAATGCTTTAGATAATAAAAATGGGAGCTTCCATTACTCAAAGGCATGGACAATTTGTCATTACCAAGAATTCAATGAAACAAACAGATTATTCTTTGACCCGAAAGTACGAGCAATATTTTCCTCTGTAAATCATTTTCCAAAATGTGCAGTTAGAGAGAGCTTTATTCAGAGCAACACACGAAAACAAGCTCCTGATTTAATGAAGAGAGAAAAAAAAAACCTCCAGCCATTAAATATTAGGACTAGGCTCTTTAGATCCCTTTTTAGTATTAAATGTAGCTTGTTAATTATAATTCTTTTTATAGGTCTCTTGTTTTCATCTTTTGAAAAGGTCTCATACTAAAATAACTACTGCTTAGGCACCTGGTATTTTTGTCTTAATACCTACACACAGTTGTCCTCCAGCCATTAAATATTAGGACTAGGCTCTTTAGATCCCTTTTTAGTATTAAATGTAGCTTGTTAATTATAATTCTTTTTATAGGTCTCTTGTTTTCATCTTTTGAAAAGGTCTCATACTAAAATAACTACTGCTTAGGCACCTGGTATTTTTGTCTTAATACCTACACACAGTTGTTATTACTGCTAAAGAGATTCTGCTTAATCCAGCCACTTAGATAAAAAGCACAGCTCCTGCTCCTTTGTCCCCTGACAATATTTGACAGTTTATATTCCCTTTTTTTTTTCTTTCTCCTTTCCTGCTTAAAAAAAATAATAAAAAGCCTGACAACAACAAAAGAGAAAATAGTAATGCAAAAGAAAAAGTGATGTTAACTGCCAGTAACACTGGGCGATGTGCCTGGATGACTGTGACACCCAGGTCCCTGTGAGACTCTGAAGCCACATGCTGCTTTTGAAGATCTGGAAGCTTGTGGAGCATGTAGGGGACGAAGTCTCAAATGCGATTTTTTGCTGGTGAATGGTACTGGTGCCTAAACCTCTGCAGCCGGGTGCAGGGCTGCTGTGCCTCTACTCCCCAGCCCCAGTTGTGATGGGTGTTCCTGCACTGGACCTTACAGGGGAAAGGGGGTAAAAGCTGGCTGCGCACATGCACCTGCAAATGTTGTAGAGCTTGCAGAGCTCCGCAGTGTTGGCTTTTCCTCCTTCTAACGTAGAAGTCAACATGTCACACCCCTCCTGTAGCTAAAGCACGTGCTTTGGTTTGCGTAGGCTTGAATTGCTTCCATCCTGCCTTCTCCTTTTTTTTTTTCACCCAGTTTCACCTACCAATCTCTGAGAAAGAAGGAACTTTTAATAAACATCGCATTTTTGCTTCTACAACTGTTGCCCTAGGTGCCTTTGTTATGTATGAATTGCTCGCTGTTGTGATAGGTGTTTGACATCCAGGCTTCTGGAAAGCCGCTGGCTCTCTGGTAGCAGCGTTTTTTTGGAAAACTGATTTCTTCTGTACAGTGAAACAAAAGGAGGAACTGCAAGAAAAGGGAGGAGGGAGGGGACTGAAGTGTGGATGAAATGCCACAAATTCTCCAACTGGGTGGGAATAGCAGGGCTCCACGGCAAAGCCCTCCTTGGTGAAGCTGGATCTGTAGGCTAGTGTCAGCACTGCATTTACAGTATCATGGCTAGCCATGTGCATATTGCAGTTTATTACGGAGCTTTTGACAGGTTCTGGGCACACTGCAGTGGCCTTTCTGTGTCCCCTTGAAAACTTTACAGCAACAAAAAATTATTTCATCATAGCTCTTCATTCCTTAGATAAATAGTACTCTTACAAGCAGCATCATTGTGAAATACGAATAGCACCAAATGCCCTTTTCCAGAATATCTAACTTCTCTTTTCTGTCATACCTTGATGGAGGAGATGGTAGTCTCAAGTAAGGCATCCCAGCATATTAAGAAAGCCATTAATTTTACTGTGGTGCTCTGATAAAAAGAAGGTAGTTTGAGATGGGGAAATGTCTAGATATTGGAGCAAGAACCAGGACTCCTGGGTTTTATGTCTGTGTTCAGCCCACTTAATTGATATTAATTGATACAGCTTGTGAGTCTTGAGCTGAGACCCATCTGCCCTTTGGTGATTACAATGTAGTAGTCGCATGGAGCCTTTTTTGGTCTGTCAGGGAAGGATGGGACCACTGGGGTTTTTTGGCTACATTTTTCTGTCACCTTAAAGACTTTGTCACATCACAGCTTCTTGCTTAGAGTATATCTTAAATCAGCGTGAAAATTGAAGCCAGTCCTGAACATCATGTCCATCATGCTAAGCACCATGTCCCTGTGGAACCAAGTGGCATCAGTTGTTAAAGGTCTACCTTGACTTATTAGGGGTTGATTTCTGAGCGAGATTTAATCTGTTGACTTTTGAATAGATTAGATCTGCTGACCTTTGAGAAAGACTGCCAGGACAGTCTTTTCATACATGTTCAACCTTGCGTTAGCACTGATAGATGAGGAGGAATATTGCTTGAATCTGCTTTCATCATTGATAGGTTATTACTGAGTGTTACTTTCTGATCTGTTCAGGTTTTATATGTACTTCTGATTTGTAGAAGACTGTAGAACTAATGGTAAAAGCTTTCAGCAGATTTATTTGAACTGAAATAACGGGACATTAACGTTCCAGAAGATGGCTTAAATGTATATGGCAATATTTTCTAGAAGAAAGTTTAATAGTGACGTTATAATTGTAATAATATAATTATAACTTCAATAAATTTAACAGTAAACCAAATAATAAAACAGTATGTCATAATGCGTGTTCTCCTTTCTCAATGCTCTTATCCAGGTTTCTCCCATCTCGACGTAATGCTTGTGGAATGCTACGATCCAAAAGGTGACCAGTGGAATATCCTCCAGACTCCTATTCTGGAGGGTCGCAGTGGCCCTGGCTGCGCAGTCCTTGAGGACAGTATTTACCTTGTGGGAGGCTACAGCTGGAGTATGGTGTGTACCTGCTTTCTACAGTGACCCTTCCATTCCTTCTGAGCTCTTGCGGCCAGTCCGTATATTGCTCAAATGGGATTGAGAGGAGACAAGGGATGAAGTAGCTGCAGGGGCTGGTTTTGGTTTGGTTTTCAACTGTTGAAGAACATGGAGTATATTTTCACCTTTGTGCTTTTCTATTTAGATGATTTATTATCAGATTGTATTAATTGATATGGAGTAATATAAAAATCAGATGTAATTTGGCAAAAGTGCTTGACAGGATTTCATGACTATAGCTCTGCTTATAAGGTGCTTGTAAAGGAGCCTGATTTGCAGAGGCTGGGTGCTCAGCCCATGTGAAAACCAAACCTCTTGAAGGGCTCCTAAATTAGGGCCCGAAACCATGAGTCGCTTTGGAAAAGAAGTGGCTTTTGGTCTTTAAAGCTGATATGTGACTTGGATTTAACTTAGGCCACATTTAATATGACCTTCTGTTTTATTACAGGGAGCTTACAAATCTTCTACTATTTGCTATAGTCCTGAGAAAGGGACTTGGACAGAACTAGAAGGAGATGTTGCTGAGCCACTTGCAGGACCTGCTTGTTCAACTGTCATATTGCCAGCCTGCGTACCGTACAACAAATGATAGTCAAGGAGCACTGACACGAACACTGATTGCATTTGGGAAAATGATGACGGGTGACGTAAATATTTTATTAGAACAGGATTCCTGTTAAAACAAAGCTACCATAATTGACCCCTTATTCCATATTTATGCTTTAGGAGCAAACTAAAAGAAAACAAAAACCAAGTGTTGTCCCATCTCAGATAGATGCCGGTGTCTTATGAAACAAGCAGCTAAAACACACCGAACATGACATGCTGACAGACTGCCATTTCAGACTGATTTTAACTTTTTCCTGCTGCAGAGATATTCCTCACGTCAAATTTAACTTTTAAAAAAATGAAGGCTAAATGTTCAAATACAGCCTGAAGAGACAAGATCAGTATTGTGCATTGTATCTACCTGCATGTGATCTGTGTTGAAGTCATGAGGATGTTGTTTTCATGAATGCTTCAGAATTCAGATAGCGAAAAGCTCACACTGCATTGCAGAATTGTCTCCTCCTCTGTAATCCTAACCTACAGCTACTTCACGTGCTCTGCAAGCAACACAGCATCAGAAGATTATAAAAGGTAAAGAAATATCATTCAGTTTTTGCACAGCTTGGCATCTAATACGCTCTGCCTTCAAAGTCCCCACGTGTAAGTGCAGCGGAAAGCAGACTACAATGAAAGCCATGCTTTACAGAGCACTTCTTGCAATAGCAGCTTAGGGATTAGGATCAAATTCTTCTAATCACACTTGTGTAAAGTCAAAGTCATTTCACTGAAATCACATGGAATGACTGTTTTTACATTGGTATAACAGCAATTTGGTCCTACACCTGAAATTCTGGGTTCGTAAAGTAAGTTATTTCTATGGCCACTTAACGAAGCACCAGAACCCTTACTTACTTTTCACTAACCTGTTAGATAGGAGCATCCATGCTAGTTGCTTCCAAAGACAAGAAGACTGCATTTAACTATAAATGTCTTACTTTGGACTCTTAAATGATGATGAATAATTTTGGAAAGACACTGGTAAGTGGTTAAAATACTCCTGTGTGGTTGATCTTAAAACGTACTCTGAAAGACTTTTACTATTGATCCAAAGTAATACAAGGCTAGACTTTCCACTGCCTTACAGCCTGTGTAATTATTTACACATCGCAAAGCGAGTTCAGAATGTTACCACATGGGACCAGTAGCATTTAGGACTTGCTTCGTGAACTCATAGTTGCTTGCACAAATCAGGCTGTCCATGTTTTCACCTTACGTCTTTCTGTCCTGGCTTTGCAAAAGCAGCGACAAAATCTGAGCCTGGTTCTTCACCACCTTGCAGTTAACCGTCTACAACTCAGAAGAATATGTGCATAACTCTTCCATTGTGGTTTACTGATGCTGCATCAATTACCCTCAGGGCCATCCTCTTCGCTGGTATAAACTGAAATTGCTCCATTGATGCCAATGGATATATTTGGTTTATGTCAGATAAGAATCTGCCCTTTAATTTGCCTGGTTGTAACTGGCTGCATCAGATAAAAGGCAAAGGAGACTCAGATCTTTCATTTTCAAGCCTGCATGTATCTTTCACGATAGGACTTAATGCTAGTGCATTAAGCAAGGAGCAGGCAACTACTGGAGGTTGGTTTCTGCTGCAGAGGCAATAGATGGGAGGAAGAATTCATTATTTGCTTTGCAAAATAGAAAGAGGGTGAATGTACACAGAAATTACACTATATATTGAAGCTTGAGAGCAATATAAATAATGGAGAGCAAATACCATGGGACTGTTTCTCTCTGGCATCAGTCCAGTTTTATTGCAGTGCAACTCCCTTGCTTGCAGCAGAATTACACAGTTGTAAAATTGGGAGTAATGCAGTAAAGACTGATACCATACAAATGCAATAACCCAATTGATGAGGTAGCTGCACGCCCGGAAAAAAATTGTTTAAACAAAATAATTACCTGAAGATGCTAATATTTGAATGTGCCGTTGGGGAGTTTTCCTGTGAGCATCACTAAGGAACTCATAAAGGTGGAGTGTATATCCTGAAATCTCAATCCATTTCTACTATATAGTGCAATCTTAGTTGGTTTTGTATTTATTTATATTGTTCAGATCCAAGGGATCCCTTGTAAAATATATTTGGTGCAATCATTACTTTTTTTTTCCTTTCCTGTCGAAAGTATATAAATATAAATATATATAGAAAGGAAACTGTTAAGATGCTAAATGAGGAAACCGTGAATGACATTTAAGATCAGGATAAGGTCTGCCATTAAACACTGACTGTCACCTGTCTCTACTAAAATGTGCCATTTTTAAAGGATATTTGTTGTCCTTTTAAGTGGTTCTTTTTTTTTTACCAAGATAATTTAAAGATTTATGAGGACTGTATGTAAATCTTTCTATCTTTCAGGAAGGCATGACCAAGGAAAGTGCTAACTGAATAAGACACACAAAGGATGTAAATTTTGTACAGTACTAGACTGTGTAAATGAAGCTTGCTTGTAGGGGGGAAACTTTAAATAAAACTTTATGTACTAATTCAACTGTCTGCCATATTCCTACTTATAAAATGTATGTATAAATAATATCTACATTAAATTCTTTGGAAGTTTTTTTATCATGTAGATGCGTAAACTTCTTTTATTTTGTGGCCGTACATAACGGCCTTATTGTTCTCCCAGTGTCATTACTCAGTTCTTGTAAACGCAGCGATGCAGTAAAATGTCGCGAGTCAGAGTCTTCCGGTGAGCTCACATGCCTGGCCTGTGCTTCCAGCAGGGAAATTCCCCCCCTGCATGCCTGCAGGCAGGGTCGGATCTCGGGAGCCTACTGATGCCACCATACGCCTGTGACATGCCTCTGCCTTGTGCTGCTCGGCCCGTTCCTCTGTCCCATGGTAAGATAAGTGAAAAGACGCTGCCCAGTTAAATGCAGTCTTGCTTTGGGGAATTTCTTCCCTCTTCAAAATGTGCCTCCTGTGGTGATTGACCCTTCTAACTATGGGTGTTGCCGTTCTTGGGGTGGAAGTGCTGTCAGAGGTGCGCAGTGGAGGAGTTGGGACAAGAGGTATTGCCAGACTGAGAAGAGAAGGTAAAAACAGGGGTTCTACCAAGAGGCAGAATCATTGTCAATACCAGTTACTATACTACGTGTATTACTTATTCATGCCTACCAACCTTTGTCGTGGACCAGAACCTTCCTATGCAAACCAAGTGAGTGCACCGAGCAAACAAAAAGGCGGTCCCTGACCCCCGTGCTTATAAAGCGTGAGCTGTGCTGAGGGGTGGCTGAGAGCGCGATGGAAGAGCCTGGTCTAACGAGAGACCATCAGTCCTGTTCAAATCTTTTACGAGGAAGGGAAAGGCGAGCCAGCAGCAACTACAGTAAGATAGAACAATGAATAGGACTGTTTCATTAATAAGTTTATTTCAGGCAAGAAAGGAAGGAAGGGAGATACATGCATATTTTTTTAAAGTAATGCAGGAGAAGAAGGAAGAGGAGAAGCTGGAAGCAGTAGGCAGAGAGATGATTTAGAAAGGAAGGGAATGAAGCAAGGAGGAGGTAAGAATGAAAGGAATAAAATGAAAACGAGTCTGCAAGAGGAAAATGTGGGAAGTTCTTGTGGATCAAGGGCACAGGGAAAGTAAGGGCTGGAGTAATGAGGGAGGCAGAGAGAGTTTCTGAGGAAGGCACATCAGACCAAGCCTGGAAAGAAATGGCGGGAGTGGCAATAGAAAAGAGGACATGAAATAAACGTGAAACTAAATCAGCACTTGGTGATGGTATCGCTCCTATTTTCTTCATCATTTCCAGTGGTCTAGCTGTCAAGCAGAAGGATCGAATCAGCAGAGTGCCGAGGTGTTGCAATGTTCAAGCTTTCAATGCACAGACTTCAGCACAACAGAAATCATGAGAGAGATGCCCAGCGGCACCTCTCTGCGGTGCCTGGGCTGCGGCAGGCACCCAACCACAGCCAGCGCCTGTGGCAAGAGAGGAGAGCTGCCGCTGGTGGTGAGAAGCAGAAGAGCAGATGGGTCACAAGTCCCAGTCCCCACTGGGCTGAAGGGAAGCGTCTTCTCCATTTCTGATTCACAGATGAGAGTCGTCTTGGGAAGCTGGACATCTGGATTGTTTCTCCGTTCTTCTCTGCCGTCCTTGCTAAACATTAATCTTCTCCTCTTTGTCCTCAGCATGACAAACTTGCCTAGGTACTGTTGCGGAGCTGGGCCTGGAAAACAACAGACCAGTGATTGGAGCTGCTTCCCTGGTGCCGAGCTGCAGTCCCATCCACTGCCCAGGAAGCGCGAGAAGGCTGGGTTGCTGCAGACTTGCAACCCGGACGGGTGCCCTTGAGGAGAGCAAAGATGGCATTTCAGAAATACACTTTTCACTGATTTTAGCATTATCTTCAAAGGTACCCACCCGCCACCCAGAAGCTGGCATTGCTTCCCTTCACATGTTTGTCCCCCTCCTTGCTTTTAATACAATGATTTACTGCACTAGCTGCCTCTGTGAGGCAATTTCTGAGAAAAATCCATGCCAAACCTCATTATGTATACACCGGTTTGTATGGTATTATAATCACTCATCAATACAGTGCTCTAACTCTCTTGCTTTTAAGGAACAGACCATGTTTCAATTGAAATGGAGCTTTCTGGGTACAGACAAAGGAGACAGAAATCCCAAACAGTGCCAAAGAGGCCAAGACGGTAATTGCCAACATACACACTCCTGAGCAGTTTAAAAGATCCACATTCTCATTTCTGTTGTTAGTGCAGCAGCAGAAAAAAGTCAGTGTTTCAGCCTCTCAGGTCCAGCCCAAGGAAGCAGCAACGGCAGCGCTGGAGGTCAGAGTGGTTACTGGGAAGGGAAAGTACACTAATGAATTCTGGAGGGCTTGTAATGCCATAAAAGATTCAGTTAATCTGCAGCATAGATGTTGATCAGCGAAACTGAACCTAACTCTCTGGACCTTGTCAGATGTATTCTGTGCATGTCAGTGTTCCACACCAATTACAGATTTTAGAAGATGCTCTCATGCAAAACTATGTGCCCTAATATATAAGCCAGCTCAGATGTAACTAAAATTAAAATCTGACTGTGGCAAATCTCTGTGATCCTGATATATGAAAATCCAAATAAATGATTTGTTCCCAGAAAAGAAAAATAACTTCAGCAGGGAATTTCAAA